CTTACCTTGCGCGGGCTGCCCGGGAACCGATGTGCCGGGGTACCAGCCTGGCCGGGTGCCCCAGGTGCCCGTCTGCCCGTTGAGCATCCTTAGCTTGTCGTACATCCCATCGGCGCCCATCTGTTGCTTTTCGCTAGCCAGGTTGCGGAGGACTCTGTTAATCGACGACACCTGCAAGGTAAGCGACAGGGACCGAAATGGTAGCGCCGCAGCGCACAGCGTCCGCGCGCAACGCCCGCCGAACGCCCGCCGAAAAAAAACCTCTCGACGCCGCGCAACGCCCCGACCGCCGAGCAGCGCCCGCCGCTTCAGCGAGCGAACGAACCCGAACGAAACGAAACAAAACTTCCCAAACCGCCCCAAAGCGGAGTGCACGCGGCCGATTTTAGCTCGAATTACTAAGGCGCCAGGCACAAGCCGAGACCCGGCATTACTTCTTCTTATTATTATTATTATCGTTCTCCTTAAAGGCACTTCTGAGGTTCTGCGCGGAAAATAAAACCCGAAACGGAGCCTGTCCCTGCCCCATGCAAGCGACGCGGGGCCGCTGTCCTCGCTCATCCGCGCCCCGGACAAAGGAGCAGAGCTAGAGCTACCCGGGCATGGCGCACGGCACGGAGGAAGGGTTTGTCGTGAACTTACGCTGGGTATATTATCGTTGGTACAGACCCCCTCCGACAGTAATCTGTCTCGAATCTCCCACGCAAAGATGGAGGGGCACTCTCGTTTATACTGCGCTATTTTGCTTACAACTTCTGGAGTCGCTACTCTCGGTTTACTACCTCCGATTGCCCTGGGTCTGATGGAGCCAGTTTCGTAATACCTGCCCAAAATTTTACTCACACATCCATTCGACACCTGGATAGGGAAGTGGACAGAAAATCACATTATTAATAATTTCAAGACAAAAATAAAATTGTTTAAGTATGCATTAAACAATGACAAGCTTACGTTTTGATTGTCCAGCACTTGGACTTTTGCATCTGCATGGGTCTATAACACAAAAATATACCTTAAATGGTATGAGAACTTACTTAGCGAGTCTTTTTTTTTCTTAAAGAAAAAAATACATTTGTGGCCCTACTATCTACAACTGTGATACTTTAAAAACATTTTGAAGAAAAAAAAATCTGGTCAAAATGGAATTCGTTTAGTATTAAGGTTAAAATATGCCTTAAACCTGAGCAATAGTTATGACAGTCTAGACTCTATTGTCCTCAATGTTCTTAGAGCGAATACTTTCGGGAGGAACAGGGTGAGTGAGGGGTTATAAAAATCTACATTTACGATGTATCCCTAAGCTGTGCCAAATCCTGTTAGTGTCCGCAAACACAGATTCCAGGTTAAAACTGCGCGGCTTTTTTTTTCTCCTGCATTTCAAAAAATAATAATAATAACAATTAAAAAAGGCAAGAAGCCGCGCCACATGTATACAGCTCTCACGAAATCATAAGGAAATAACGGGAGAAGGGAGGGAAAAAAAACGGGAGTTATGGCGAGTCGTCTAATTCGGTTTATTACAGCGAACTAACTGCAAGGAGAGCGGAGGTTATTACGGGGCGGCAGTGAGGAGGGGCACAGCAGGCGGGTATCGCAGGGCTCGCACAGGGACAGGCGTCTCGGCGGTCAGGAGGAGCAGCCGGGCGCTGCCCTGCGCGGGGGGCCGGTGACGGAGCCCGCACGGGCGCGGGGCGCGGGCAGAGGCTCCTCCGCCGAGGGGCGCGGGGCGGCGCGGGGCGGGGGGGAG